GACTGTTACATCACATTTAAAAAAATTTATTACAAAATTGTTATTATTATTATTAATTTAATACTTTATTATTTTCAGACTTTTTAAATTGGAAACGTAATTATGAATCAGAAACTTGCAGTTGCTTTTACCATCGTAAAAATTTAACACGTAGTGGACGTAGAGTAGAATATTGGTATTGCAACCGTTCAGGTAGTTACCAGAGTGCATTACAAAGTCGTAGACGAAAATTAAAATCTCAAGGAATTCTTAAAATAAATAATAATTGTACATCTTCAATAACTCTAACTGTAAATGAAATTGAAGGCACTGTTCAAGCTGTTATATACCATACACATTATGGACATGAAGCCGAACTTGTACATTTACGAATCCCTAAGAGTGATAAACAAGAAATAGCTTCCAAATTATTACAAGGTGTWAATATTGAAGATATATTGTCATCTTATAAAGAAGATGGATTATCTAAACAAACTGAACGAAAACATTTAATAAAACGAAGAGATATATTAAACATTTCAAAAAAATATAATGTTCATATTATATGTCCAAAAGTGCAACCATCAAAAAATAAAATAAAAAATGAATCTATTCAAGAAACTGTTGAACCTCTTGTTATGTACTCGTTACCAAATACGATCGAAGCTAATAAGAGACACCTTACTGCTTCTCAAMTTGCATTATCWTTTGTGAGCTCAATTCATGAAAATGTTTGGAAAATTTCTATTGGAAATTTTTTATTTTCAAATTATTCTTCAAATAATAATAATCAAGGAGTTTATGTWACCAAAAATAATGTAGTATCATGTTCTAGCGRTGATTGTAAATCTTATTGTAACTATTGTAAAATTTGTTACCATGCATACTCTTGTACATGCTCAGAATTTATCTCTAAAACAGTTATTTGCGAACATGTCCATTTAACTGTAATATTTCAAGCAAATCAGCCTTATCAATATGATAATCACACAGAAAGAAATATATATGGAAACCAAGATCATACAAAGTATACCCAAAACTGTGTAGAATCTCCTAATACCCAACAACCTATTAAAAATGAAATCCAAGATCATACAAATTATACTCAAATATGTGCAGAATCTCCTAATACCCAACGACCTATTAAAAATGAAATCCAAGATCATACAACGTATACCCAAAAATGTRCAGAACCTCTTAATACCCAACAACCTATTGAAAATGAAATTCAAGATCATTCAAAATACACCCAAAACTGCACAGGACCTTCCAATTTACAATATATGAAACAATTATATGATCATTCAAAAAATAATGACATATATAAACACAAAATGAAAGCAAAAAACCTTAAAAGTTTGAAAACAAGATTGAAAAAATTGATGATGCAAACAT